CTCTCCACCAAGTTGCTCCGCATGTTCTCTTAAATCATATATGAGTTCCATCTCTTGTTAAAAATGTCACAATAAGCAACAACATTATATATATATATATATATATATATATATATATATATATATATATATATATATATATATATATATATATATATATATATATTCTGCTCTACAACAAAGAGTTAATAACATTATAACCTACTTACCAATGTTTTAAAAATCGGTTTTTTAGTTGAATCGGTATGGTGACCGGTTCCCGGTTGAACCGGTTCGACCGTTGGTTCAACCGGTTTTTATAATTTTCATTTTTTTTTCATACTGTCCGACACACATGGACATCCACAAGTTTAAGCATTAAAAATATACATAAATACAAGTTGAAGATCAATCCAAATACACTAAAAACACATAACTGTAAGTTTTACATCAATCCACGTACATCAAAAATAAAATAAAGTATAATACGTAAAAACAATATAGTTTTAGATGAATACAAACGCATTACAAAACTTTATAACATTTACCATGTGTTGTTATTCAAAAAAATCTAAATAAACGTGAAAAAAACATCAAAAGTTTGTTATGAAAATCATTCATTTCCATGTGTTATTATTTACTTTAACTGGTTCCACCAGTTTAATTTAACCGGTTCAATCGAATTTTTGTGAAAACCGGCCGGTTTATTCATTTTCAAAAATAGACATAAAACCGGTACTAGTTGAACCGCTCCCTTCTCTGGTTCCCGGTCCAACTGGTTCGACCAGCTGGTTCAAACCGGTTATTAAAACATTGCTACTTACAATAACTCACTAGGGAAGACGAACTTTGATAAGATCTTTCTTCTTGAACTCTTATTTGATCAATAAACTCATTGTATTCCCACGATGTTCTCTCGAGTTTGCTACATATTACTCATTTAATTATTCCATTTGGGCCCATACAATTGTATAAAAAAACCACAGAACAACAACAATCAACAACAACTACCATAACAAATAACAACAACAAAATCTCACCAAAAATTTAAATATTCACAACAACAAATCAAACATTTCACAAAAGATTTCATATGAGATTTCTACAAGATTCATACAAGTTTTCAACAAGATCATACCAAGAAATTCCGATTTTCGTTATACCAAATTTCATCAACATTCTGATTTTCATTAACATACCATATTTCATACAAGATTTCATACATTATACGTAAAATGTCTTTTTTTTTCAAATTTCCTTAAACAAACGTACCAACAGATGTAAGAACATTCAACATAATTATGATTTCATCCAAAAAAACATACATACAACATCCCGCCATCAGAAAAGTGATTTCAGAAAAAAAAAAAAACGAAGAAACACCTGTGCAGCAAGTCGGAGCTTGCGATAGGTGGAGGTAGGTGGCGACGCTTGAGAAGGCGGTGCCGATCTGGCCAGAGGGAGGACTAGACCTTCGAGTTTTAGTTGAAGAAGGGAGGAGGGCACAACAACGATGTGGGTTGAAGAGAGTTACGATGCTTTTTTTTATTGAAGGCATATATGTCAAATTTTTGAGTCGGCTCCTTTCATTCAGTGGACCGGGTAAGTTGTTGGGTCAGTCACAATTGACCGAGTCAGCCACTTTATGAGTTTAGCAAACGGAGTGACTGGACCGAGTCAACCCAAAATTGTTAACCGGACCCAGTCAATCTAATATCAAACAACCCCTTATTCTTCTACTTCCTTTGTGATGTCATGGTATATACAAGAAATTAAAAAGGCATCGAGCTCATATTGTTCATCAAACATTCTAGTAGATGCTAAATGTCAATGGTCATATGTTCTATCAACAAGCGAATTCTCAAGAACATGTAAAAGAATTGAACGTTCGACGAACTGTTCGTGAACCGTTCGGTGGGAAGTTCGTTTATATTCTTTTAGTTAATAAATGAACACAAATTCTCGTTCGTTTAGTTAAACGAATGAACATGAATAATGGTCTCGTTCGTTCAATTATGTTCGTGGACGTTCGTTTATGTTCGTTCATTTAAGTTTCTTTTATATTCATAAATGTTCAATTGTGTTTGATTACAATACTATATTATATGTTCATTTATGTTCATATATGTTCAGTTATGTTTATTTATTTACGTTCGTTTATGTTCGTTTAGCATGTTCATGAACATAAACGAACGAACATGAACAATGTAATTTTTTAAACGAACGAACATGAACAAAAAAACCCATTCGTTTATTTGTTTGTGTTCGTTCATTTGTTCGACTAACTTAAAAGAACAAACATGAACAAACATTTGTTTGTGTTCGTTTGGTTCGTTTACAATCATACTATATCTAATAACTATCCTTAAAGTAAGATATAAAGCAACATAGATACCGTTGGGCTAGAAGCCCTTTGATTGGTGGTGTCTATTGGGTTGTACTACTGGTGGGCCGAGCACAATTATGGGTTGCCTCTTGTGTTGGGATTGTCATTGTGGTATGGTGGCTGTTGGGATGCAAGTCTATTTTCATTTGGTCCATTTTCATTGGTTTTGGCGTTTGACATATGGTGGGATGTCAACTCCATCAAGCAAATTACACCATTTGTTTGCAAATAAAACGTAATATAATGGTAAAAAGGGGTATAGATCCTCGGGGAAATGGTTGTATTCAATTACTAATGCAATCTATTAGAGCTAGTGTAAATAAACTAACTACAATTAAATTAAAAGGGGGGTGTTGTGATTGCTTGAAAACTAAAAGACTTGAATAACTAAAAAGCTTACAATTAGGCAAGATGGTGAGATGCTCAAATATTGGAGACAATTGGTTAACCAAGGCAATTCAACACAATGAACATTTGTGTGTTTATCATTAGGATTCAACATTAAGCTTATCATTCATCCCAAATTGGTTATAGCAATCATGAAGCATGATATACCAAGATTCCTCATAGGTAGTATGGAGGTTGGGGAAGCCCACAACACACCTTCTTAATCAAAATTAAAGATCCATTTGAAGCAATTGAACCCAAAAAGTTGATTAGCCTTAAAAATGAAGGAATCCTCAATTCCTAGAGGATGTCAATGCTTACACATCCATAAAGGAGCTATGATTCATAAGCTAGAGATGATTTCTACCATCATAAAGCTCTTGTTCTAAGTAAATTCAATGATTCAATGCTAAACCAAAAAAATAAACCAACAATTGCTTATTCAAGTACCAAGCTCATGATCAAAGTATTAAACAAGCATAGGAAATATGAACTAGAATCATAGACATAAGATAAATGATAAATAAACATGAATCCTTCAAAAACCTACAAACATTCAAAGATTTTAGCCAAGGCTAACCAAAATAGAGAGTTTAGCCACTCATGACAATAGAATAACAATCACAAAAGTCTAATTGCATAAAGAAACTACCAATAACTTGAAAAGATGAAAAGAAATGAGTCTCAAGCTCCAAAATCGCCTTCTTCTGGTCTTCAATGGTGTAAAATCGAAGTGATAGCTAATAGATCCAACCCCCCAATGTAATGGTGTGCCAAATGACCAAAATGCCAAAAACTGGGCAGTTGCGCGGGTACCCGCGCGCCGGAGATTCCACCCGCGCAAGTGCTGTTGGAATGCTATTGGCTCATTTTTCCTCCACTAACCATCCCACTACCAAAGATTCCCTTGGTCCCCTCCATATCCCAATTCCCACATGATTCAAACTAACCAATCATCTTCTAGCTTCAAATATGGATGCTCCAAGCCCAAAATAAAGATCCATAACCCATCTTCACAAGCCCACTTCATCCAAGTCCTTAGCTTTTTAGGCCCAAATCTGCTTTTATGGATCCGCAAAGCCCAATAATGTCTCGAAAGCCCATAAAGCCGGATTCCAAGCTAATCCATAACATCAACAAGCTCCAAAACCCTGCAAAATACCTCATGCAACATAAAAAGTCATCGGTATGATCCATAATAAAGAAAATAAATAAAATACAATGCACTAATGATAAAAAAAGCTAAAATACTAAAATAAACTAATTAAAATAAAGAAATAAAATAAGCTATCAACATAAGTCGCCCAACAATACATTCATACACAATCCTACTGTGCAAGAAACAATAACATTTATTATAGAAAATACTAAAATTCTGTTCAGATTATTGACACTATAAAAATAATTAGATATATGTTTCGAATTCACATAACAATATTTAAATACAAAATATTATCAAATTTACCTTTTTAGTTTAGTCGTATCAAGTTTCAAAGATGATTACGTTCTTTTAGTTATAAAAGAAATATAATTCTTTACACCAAATGGAAGTTGTTAAGGCTCCTATTCGGTCGAATCTATGCCATCACAACCTAACCAGTACTATAACCCCACAAACACTCTCGACCTTCATCATTAGACAAACAAAAATAATATTTGATTGGTTAACACTTCTAACCATTTTTTATTATCTTCATTTACAAGATTAACCCTTCAACTCCAAATATTATAGTTTATGTTTTATGCCATATCCACAAATATATCCCTTTCCCAAAATGCCATCCATTTTTAATACAAACAAATTGTTTTACTTACTTGTTTCATTATATTTTTATTTCCAAATTATACTAAGATTAGCAAGAGCCAGAAAACATACGACATTAACATTGTAAGGATCAGGTTTTGTATTCACTAAAAAAATATTACGTTTGGACCTCTTAACCTACCTCACATATATATTACAATGGACACCCAAAAAGGATATTGCAAAACGGGAAAGGTTTGAATTTTGAAATATGCATTTGTAAAGTGGTAATTAAACAAGGGTAACATAGTCATACTAGATTACAGGAGTTGACAACTCTAGAATATAAGTCAAAATCAGATAAATTCACTTCAACACCACTCCACGGTATACTTGGGCCACATGCAGTAGGTAAATATGTGTTCTTCACAATTATACATACATACATTCATCCCTACATAAACCATTGTCCTCCATCATTCGAATTACCAACAAACTTAAACGCACTAATCACAACCAGCAACATGGCTCTACCATCAACTTTCTTGCCTGCTTTTGTCTTTCTCACATTCTGTCTTTGTTTGTACCCTCATCTTGCATCAGCAAAACATGGTTCAACCGGTGTCACTCGGCACTATAAGTTTAACGTAAGTTTGGTGTTTGCTACAGATTTTAAGTTATTACATGTGTTTTATTTGAATTCTATGCATGATTTCAGATACGGATGCATAATGTGACGAGGTTGTGTCAAAGCAAAAGCATAATAACTGTCAATGGTAAATTCCCGGGACCAAGGATTATTGCTCGGGAAGGCGACCGATTGGTGATTAAAGTGGTGAATCATGTTTCCAACAATATCACTATCCATTGGTATGTATTTAACTTTTTCTTGAATTCAATGTCATGAGTGTCGAATATACCCTTGAATGTGTTTGTGGTGTTAATATCAATGGGTTGTTTGATGAGGGTAGGCATGGAATTCGGCAACTTCGGAGCGGATGGGCTGATGGGCCAGCATACATAACACAGTGTCCGATTCAAACTGGCCAATCGTATGTCTACAACTTCACCATTATCGGGCAAACAGGAACACTTTGGTATCACGCCCATGTTTCATGGATTAGATCAACCCTTTATGGCCCAATTGTCATTCTCCCTAGACGCAACACTTCCTACCCTTTTGTGAAGCCTTACAAGGAAGTCCCTATTATATTTGGTAATTTATCATGCCTCTTATTCTTGAAGTTATAGTAATTAATGATCATATTTTGTTCTAAACTAAGTAGTTTTGATTAATAGGAGAATGGTGGAACAATGATACTGAGGCTGTGATCAATCAAGCCCTTCAAACAGGAGCTGGCCCGAATAATTCTGATGCTTATACCATTAACGGGCTACCTGGACCATTATATAACAATTGTTCTTCACCAAAGGGTACATAATTATTAAAGATCGTTATATAAGACATTTATATCTTTTTACTCTCTTCTTGATTTTGTGAGTGAATAATGTTAACTAATCCACATGCAGAAACGTTTCGGCTTAAGGTGAAGCCTGGAAAGACATATCTCCTTCGTATCATCAATGTTGCCCTCAATGATGAACTCTTTTTCAAGATTGCAAACCATACTTTTACAGTTGTTGATGCTGATGCGAGTTATGTGAAGCCATTTGAAACGGATACAATCTTCATCACGCCGGGTCAAACGAGCAATGTTCTCTTCAAGACGAAAAACCTTACCTCAAATGCCAAATTCATGATGGCTGCAAGACCATATTCCACAGCAGCTGCCAGAACTTTTGACAATACAACCGTTACCGGAGTTCTTGAGTACATGAGTGATACCATGTCGTCATCTTCCAATACTTCCATCAAAGGCCTTCCCCTACCTACACTACCGGCTATCAATGCCACTGCCCATGTGGCTAACTGGACTAATAAATTTCGTAGTTTGGGTAATTCACAGTTCCCGGTGAACGTCCCACAGACTGTTCAAAATCGCTACTTTTTTGCCGTTGGACTCGGAAGCGACCGGTGCCCGAAGAATCAAACATGTCAAGGGCCGAATGGGACCAAATTTGCAGCCTCCATTAACAACATTTCCTTCACCTCACCAACAATCGCACTTCTTCAAGCCAGGTACTTCGGAAAATCCAACGGAGTTTTCACCACCGATTTCCCTTCTACCCCTTTGAGTCCATTCAATTACTCGGGTACCCCACCAAACAACACCATGGTTTCCCATGGCACAAAAGCGGTGGTGCTTCCATACAATACCACAGTGGAGCTGGTGATGCAAGGCACCAACATTTTCGGTGCAGAAAACCATCCTCTTCATCTTCACGGCTTTAACTTCTATGTGGTTGGTCAAGGCACCGGAAATTACAATTCTACAACAGATCCGGCCAACTTTAACCTTGTTGATCCTGTTGAAAGAAACACCGTTGGCGTGCCCTCCGCCGGATGGGTGGCTGTGCGATTCCGAGCTGATAATCCAGGAGTGTGGTTTATGCATTGTCATATTGAGATTCACCTGAGTTGGGGGCTGAGAATGGCGTGGGCAGTCATGGATGGGAAGCTTCCGAACCAGAAGTTGCCTCCACCACCTTCTGACCTTCCAAAGTGTTGACTTTGACTTCATATGATACGCAAAGTGTTGACTTTTGACTCGGTGAGACTATTATTTTTCAAGTTTCTACGTTATGTACCCGTAAGTGAGTGATCTTTGTTCGATGAATGAGAGATTAATTCCCAATTCAATGTTTTTTTCTTTAAATGTAATATACAATATATTTGATTATTGGGTTGATGTAAAATGATGCATCATAGATTCGGTGATGGATTCTTAGGAGTTGATGTAAAGTTTAGGCCGTAAAAATGTAGTGCTACCAAAACTACTAAATAAAATTTTTTGTTTTAAGTCAACCAAAACAATCATTCATTCTTTCCAAAAGCCCATCAAAATATAGAAAAGTATCAAATAATTATCAGAGTACAAAACAATGTCATAAAATGCAGAACATCGGTGGATGCGATGCAATCACGTCGAGCTATTCCTTTTAGAATCGGAAGTAGCTGAAACATAAACATAAATCGTAAGCACAAATGTTAGTTAGTTCCCCAAAAAACCACATACCATACATGTATCAGCCCCCGCCCGGTATTCATTAGGTCCCGCCTGACATACATACAAACACATGCAAAAGTCACAAAGACAGCTAGCATCCTATAGACATAATCCATTTGGACCATAATTTGTGCCTTCAACACACAAGTACAGTGAAGAGACTCACCTCTAAGACGATGATCAACTGCTACTGCTCTCACTGCTGAAATACAGGTGTTATACCCCACCTAGACATTCACACAAGATAAACCCTTAGCCCACCTTCCAAAAACTAAGAGGTGACCAAAAGTCAACTTAGGTCAAAGAGTCAATGGTCAAAGACAAAGTAAATTTTGTTGACCTCCACATCGTGGCCCACAAGTCTAAACCCGATCTGGATCCAAGTCAAATAAGTCAAAATGGCATCAGCACCCCTCCACGTCGTGGCTTTCCTTTGGCCACGCCGTGGGCACAAAACGACAAAACAGTTGACTGATCTCTAGTCGCCATGTCGTGGCGGTCTAGTGCCACGCCGAGGGGACCAGTCTGAATGGATTATTCGAGTTAATTTGCTTTTAACTCATTTCAAGGGCTCAAAAACCCAGATCTACTTCTTCCCACTGCCTTGATGGATAAAGTTTCGAACTTTATCCATTTAAACACTCCATTAAGACAAGATCTCTAAACCTAGGTTCTAAAGGTCATCGAGAAGTAATACTCAAACATTAAGTCCTTAATCACAAAAGACACAAGCCCACAATTTCCAGAAGGGTTTTCCTTTACCCAAGAGCCATAAAGTTGGTTGCTTTATGGACATGCATGTCCAATGCATGTCCCCTCCATTTAGGTCAACAAGAGTGATAAAGAGGCTTCAAACTCATGCATAGGATCAATGTTGTAAAACTCTCCGAGTTGGTCGATTACTCGGCCGAGTACTCCCTACTCGGCCCCTTACTGAGGCGAGTTACAAAATCCGAGTACTCCCCGATCGGCCCCTTACTGAAGTGAGCAGTGTTGTAAAACTTGGCCAGCTCGGTGATTAATATATACTTAATGATTTATTATTTAACACACACACACATGTGATTATTACTACATATATATCTTAAATTTTCAGTAATTATTCACGAAGTGAGACCATTGTGTGTTTTCAGTTTTTGTGTATTCACATGTATCTAATTTTGTTATATATTTCAACCAACAAATGGTTTTAACTTATGATTTTGACTTATATAATTTCCCTAAATATATTCTAGATGAATTACTGAATTTGAGTACTCCCAAGTACTCTTGATTACTCCCGAGTACTCGCTACTCAGTGGTCGGCCGAACAGGTACCGAGTAGCGAGTTCTACAACCATGTGTAGGATAACATACACCATGGAACATCATATCTACAACATATTATTTAAAATGGCCCTCTAGGATCTATAAAGTTGCCTACTTTATGGAGTCCTTCCATTCCAACTAGGCCACACAAGAAGAAAATGGGACAAAACCTTAGATCTATCATCATAGAAGCATAAAGCAAGCCGCTTGGACACTTACAAAGTTCCAAAGATGCCAAAAAGTGATATTCACTCCAAATAAGAAGTACCACAATCCTTTTCAATGCCTATTCTTCCTTCAAAATCAGTTAAAATCACCAAAATGGACTCATATCTCACAAGGAGGAACTTGGGTTAGGGTTTTTGAAGCTTGAGGGTGATGGAGGCTGAATGATCACAAAACCATATCCATAATGTCCTTTAAATAGGTCCCAAGGCCCAAGAATTAGGGTTTTCTCCGAAAGCAGCTGTCACGTTGTGGTAACCCTTTGCCACGTCGTGGCAGTCATTAAAATCCTGCGATCAAAGAGGTATTGTCACGTCGTGGTGAAGCTCCACCACACCGTGGCTACCCAAAGTGAAGTTTTAGAATTAAATTTTATCTCATACCTAAAACGGGTGTTACAACTCTCCCCCACTTTTAGATTTCGTCCTCAAAATCATTTCTTACGTCCTCCACACCAGTCACCCTCTTCGAATACTGCTATCAAAGCCCATTCTTAGAAGAAATCATTTATCCTAACAAAGAATGAACCTTATCATTTTGTCCTCGGCCAAGGAAGGAAAACCCAACTGCTCTGCTCGAAAACTGAAAACCCTAACAGTGATTGACTTCCCAACAGACAAAAACACCTTATCCCGCATCCGTAAAGACTCCAATTCATAACTCGAACCGAACAAAAACCTTCCGTCCCTATATTATCTTGCTGATAATCGGAAAAGCAGAACGTCTGACTCTTCATCACTGCTGAAACCTTTCATTTGAAAGCAAAGGTGAATCTCAATGTGAGTCTCACCCATAGGTCCCAAACCAATACATAACTTACATCCTGATAACCAATGGTTTGCATATTCGATCTATCCGAAATTTTCTGATTCCATGTTGACCTTCTACTAAACTGTGATGCAGAATCCCCAACCGTCTGTTGAGACTGTCAATCTCATGCTTGGTCGCACCACGAGACTCCGACCCAGAATCTAGATGATAAAGGTTACCCTAGCCTATTTACCTCACGGTTCCAATCCATAGACCACAAAGTTTCCCTACTCTAAACGTGATCCGACACCTTAACTAAGCCAGTTACTACCGAGTCCCACCCTCATGAGTCATGCACTTACTGCTTCATGAAACCCCATGATGCCATCTAATCTGTTAGAACACTTAATATTGCAGGTCACAAAGATCTTGTCATCACTCCAACACTGATACGGAGACTTATGATCGACACCTCATACCCTGAGCATATCTTCGAATGTCTGGGTGGTCTGCTCACCAACGTTAACCTAAAGAAATCGGGCGTTACCCATGGGTCTCAGCCATACTATCATAACCAAATGGGCCTCGCCCATGAGTCTCACCTGTCCTGACATAACTAAATGGTCCTCGCCCACTGGTCTCACCTAACTGAGAGCTATACAAGCCTAAAACACCGTTACATCTCCAAAAATCCTCATTCCCAACAAGGAGTTGTCAACCAACAATAACGGTCCGACTTGACCCATTTGTGCGTTGTGATCCTCCTACAATCCAACAACCACTCCTGCGATGGTCTAAATCATCCTAGTGAATGCTACAACTCTCATCATAAACTTATAAAATTCTTCCACAATAGCCATGGGCCTAGCCCATGGTATTGCCATCCATCTACCATACCAAACTATAATCAACATGAGTCGAAACCTCATCTGGATATACCCTAATTAGGTGTTCGGGACATTCTTCGAACCCCAAAGCCTTTATCGCACAAGAACAGACTGAGAGGCTCTAACATAACCCTCAATCTGAACCTAGTCACATATCCATCATGCGCCACTACTGATGCTCCATGACCTCGAACAAGATAATCTGAACGTCATTATATGATTCCCAGATCACAACCAAACATTGAACATTGTCCCTTGCATAACCCTCAGCCCGTAATACAAACAGAATTGGCTATACATTTGCTTTTGTTTATGATGATCCATATTGACCTGCACTTAGAAATATTTCCATTAATTCCCAAGTGTTTCTCCCCCACTTGGATTCAGTTACACTCTAACAATATTCACAACCATTTGAACTTCCTAGTCATCCCACAACGTTACCCATTTGATCCTTGAAAACCGCACCTGCCATTACCGGTCATAAGAGAAACCAGATTCCTCGAACAATTTCCAAAAGGTTTTACTACATGACTGCTATCCAAAGCGAAAGAAATCCAAGATTCCTACTTGTGACCACAACTTATATCAATAAGCAACCCAACCATAAACCTTCTCAACTTAAAGCATTATCCCAGTCGTAAGTAACCGAACAGATCCTTTATAATCACAACTTATCAACGAAGCTCACTGAACCGAATAACGCTGTTCCGACACCCTAACTCGCAATTCAAATGTCTGTTGCTCTATACTTACTAAAAGATCAACGTACCCAAAGTATCAACAAATGATACAACTCGAATGCCTTCGAGCAATCCCAACAGCTGAACGGGTTCATGTGAATATGCATCATCCATACCCCAAAGTTGGTAGGTCCCCACAACTCCCACCCTACTAACAATAACAATCGAATCAACGAGCTAACCAACCCTACATCAGACATCTAACCTGAGCGGCACCAACACCTATTCACTCGATCTTCATTGTCTCAAAAGGGACAATCATCTACTACGAGATATTCACCTAACAGCTTCTGATGTGAGGATTACACGCACATCACTGAAAGCATGAATCTCATAGTAGCTCACCCTGAACCCGCGTTCTGACTAATCCCTTATGTTTTACAAACATGAAGAATCTTTTTAATCTTGAATACCAAAAGTCCAGTAGACTTACACTGCAACTTCCTCGAACCATCAAAATCAAATACTTTCAAGGAAAACACTTAGGTTTCCTTCACTTAGGACTTACTCTACCATTGGTCGACGTCTCCCACGTCGATGTCTGAAACCGATTCATCCAAATACCCTCCAAACATGGACCTCGGTATGCAAAAATGGCATACGATAATCCCTCAAATGATAATAACCAGACAATCACAAAGAAAACATGAACCTTAGGTGAATTCTTAAGCACCTCGAATATTATTCCTCTCACATATAATCACATAATCATGGGTAATAAAAGCAAGAAGGAAAGAATACGATACGTACCAGCAGCGACATCAGGCAAAACTTGGG